TACTTCTCTACCTTCTTCTCTGGTGTCTGTCACCGGAGATGACTTTGTCTCCGCTGTCACTGATATATTGTCCACTAATTCCTTCACCTTCTCCACGCAGACACACCATGACTAGTTCTGGCCAAGGCGGCGTCAAAGTACGCTACGACAAAGAAGTCTCGGCCATCACCCACAACTTGAAGGAGCAGCGAGTCCTGGAGAAGTCCATGCAGACCCTCCGGATGGAGCAGACTTACTCGCTCAAACTGCTGGAGCTTGACCACAGGGTCATCAAGGTGCGGCTGGTTGTTGAGAAATCATGATATATCTGTCGTCGGCCAACTGTTCAAATGTACTAAACTCCAAATTTAGAATGAAAAAAACATTTATTGCAGTTTCTTAATCTGTGATATCGGTTGCATATATACTTGAGAAATATAAGCCTACTTTGTTGAAATTCCAATTCTAAATGTTGAAAAAAAAGGCCAAAAAGATACATTTATTATTAAGTTACAATTTTAAGAATAATAAAACATTTTTTTCTCTCTCCTGAAAAAAAGTTCCTTTCTAGGCTAAGGACATCTGATCTCGAAGAGCTTGCTAACTACGGCTAACTAAGTTATCCCACGAGCCAAAGCATGCCGGCCAGAAACATGCTGTTGTAGTCATTATTAATGTATAGTGATTGTTTAGAAGCATGGGCTTGATGCGGTATAGCTTTAACTCCATAAGGACGTGGCGGACACATGATAATAATAGTATGCCTGATCAACAGCAGACCAAAAGACAATGTTGCGGGATACTTCGAACCATAAGCTAATTATATACAAATCAGTAGGCTTAGCACAGATAAATCTGCATAATTCACATTCGCAAGTGGTTGCTTGACTTGTTATGCTTCAGAAGAAAACAGAACTGAACAATTAACATTACATTGATAGCGAAGGGTGCCGGTTTAGTTGAAGGTCTACCGCTGGACTAGTCTGACAACTGGTTTCGCTGAAAATCTACCGCAATATTTCGGGCTTGGGACTACCTTTGACCACATTAAAATGTTTTGATGGTTGCAGTTTGTCCGGGAGGGGGGTCGTCAGATTGTAGTTGTTGAAAGGTAGCGATTGATAGGTACATTATTATGTTTTCGAGATGGGGATTTGAGTTTGGTTTTGTCTACGGGTACACAGATACCCATACCTGTTGAAAGGTGGTTTATCAGAGGAGTACCTGGTTCTATCTCCTTTTCTCTCCCTCTCTCTCTCTCTCTCTCTCTCTCTCTCTCTCTCTCTCTCTCTCTCTCATCTCTCTCCCCCCTCTCTCTGTGTGTGTTTGTTTGTGTGTCTGCTTGCCTCTCTTTGTTTCTCTCACTACCGCCCTCTCTCTCTTTCTGTTAACAGCACCTTCCCCATTCTC